TTTTTCAATTGTCCATTTTTATTTTTGTTTCTTGTTTTTTTTTTTGATCCATGTTGTCGGAGAGATCTTCTTCGGTCTATAAAAATGTTCCTTTAGTTTCCTTCGATGAGTTGTTCCCAATCGATTTTCTAATAGTTTTTTGTTTGCCTTTCAATTTGATTTCAATTCATGATTTAGTTCATGCCTTCACCATTGCCCTTTATTTCCTCTCATTTGTATCCCATTTTCTTATTCCACCTTCAATTTCCATTCTTTGATATTCACCTAAAAAAAGAAGAAGAAAAACTTTGTTAGAAAATTCAAACACTTCAAAAACAACATCCATCATCGTCATCCACATCAAATGAAAGCAAAATGTCCAAAAAAAGCCAACTTTGAAAGAAATACCAGCATCAACGTTAAAGTTGTTAACTCTCTCCACGACACGTCACGTCATGAATGTGCAAAAGGGAATTGATGTTTTATTTTGATGTTGTCTGGTTACAAAGTTAAATAATCCCATTTAGAGTTACACACACGCACACACGCATGAGAGTGTGTCTGCCTGTGTCCACTTCATTGTAAGTTGACGTTGTTTATCTGCTCTCATCTCTTTCCTTCCCATGAGAATACTCCGTTATGTGTCTCATTTGATGATATCGGTAGGCTACTCTCATCTCCCCCAACAAAAGGAATGCAATGGCAATACTCCGTTAAGTCGCTCATCGGGGTGTGTGTATGTGTGAGAGAGTGAGTAATGTGTGTTGACTTTTTGAGATCCCTGGCCGCACACAACAACGGCTGTATTTTCTTCTTCTTCTTGGTCTTTATCTTTTTGCTCCTTATTTTCATTGAACTAAATAAAATATTAAATGGAACAGTTTGGCGTCCAAATGTCTGGGCCGTCAATATAATTTTACTTTTATTTTTATGGGTATTTACTTCATCTACTTTTTCCAACACAGAGAGAGAGGGAGAAAATAATTCCCCCCAAAAAAACAAAAATAGTCAACAAATAGAAAAAAGGAGAGCGGGAAATGTAAGAAATATGGCCACACATTACCTTTTTCTCTGCATCTTGCCCCTGCAGTTGTTGTTTACAATAACGTACGCTATTGAACTTTGGTAATCCCACGCGCCAGAGGAAAACAAAGAAACAGAAACATGAAAAGAAAAACTAATTCCTTGTAAAACAAGGACATGGCAAGCTAAGTACCAAAGAGCAATGACAGCATCAACAACAAAAATAGAAATGGACCAGCAAGTAGCAGCACCAGCAGCAACAATGAAATGGAATCTCAAGTACCGAAAAGCATTAAACTAAAAACAAAACAACAATAACAACAACAATAACAACAACATAAGAAAAAACTTTTAATGTCAAACATAAAGACACTTCTCCGGCTCTGAGTCACACACACATGCTCTTTGAGGTAAGCGATTTTAATGAGTGGGTGAAAGTAATGGTAATGACTTGTCAGAGCCCAAAACGGAGGAGCCTAGATTAAAAATAAAACAAAAAATACACGTGAAAATTAATAAAAAATATATATATATAAAACATAAAATAATATAAAAACATAATATATAATAAATAAAATAAAAATTTTTTTAATGTTTTTTTTTTATTATTTTCAATGATACCGGTTTTCTTAAAAAATATATTTTTTAAATTCTCAGCAAACTTGGATATTTTAAAAAATATACTTTTAACAAGCGTAGATTTTACTTGTCAGAGCCCAAAACGGAGGAGCCTGGATTAAAAATAAAAAAAGAAAATATAAAACATAAATAAAATAAATTTTTAATGTGTTTTTTTACTCTCAGGATGGCGGTTTTCTTAAAAAAAAATTTAATTCTCAGCAAACTTGGATATTTAAAAAAAATATATCTTTAACAAGCATAAATATTTAAAAAAACATTTTTTTAATTTTCAACAATTTTTGTTTATTGTTTTTTAAATATTTTTTTTTTTTTAATTTTCAACAAACGTGGATTTCTTTAAATTTTCAATTAACATGCATTTTTTAAAAAAAAAAAAATTTTAAAATTTCCAACAATTTTTTTTTAAATTTTTTATTTATTTTTTTATATATTTTTCTTAAATTTTCAACAAACGAGGATTTTTTAAAAATATTTTTTTCAACTTTTCAACAAAAGCGAATTTTTTTAATCTTTTTTATTTTCTTTTTAATTTCTCTTTTTGAAAATATTTTTTTTTTAAATTTTCAACAAAAGTGTATTTTTTTAAATTTTTTTAATTTTTAGCAAACGTGGATCTTTTTGAATTTTTTTTTTTAAATTTTCAACAAAAGTGTTTTTTTTTAATTATTTCTTTTTAATTTTTAGCAAACGTGGATCTTTTTAAAATATTTTTTTTACATTTACAACAAAATTGGATTTTTCTAAGAAATGTTTTTTTATTATTTGACAAACGTGGATTTTTTTAAATTTTTAACAAACGTGATTTTTTTTAAATATCGATAAAACTGGATTTTTTTGAAAATATTTTTTTCAAATTTTCAACAAAAGTGTATTTTTTAATTTTTACCAAACAAGGATCTTTTTGAATTTTTTTTTTAAATTTTCATCAAAAGTGTATTTTTTTATTTATTTCTTTTTAATTTTTAGCAAACGTGGATCTTTTTAAAATATTTTTTTACATTTACAGCAAAACTGGATGTTTTTTTTTAATATTTGACAAACGTGGTTTTTTTTAAATTTTTAACAAACGTGAATTTTTTTTTTTTTAAATTTCGATAAAACTGGATTTTTTTGAAAAATATTTTTAACAAACTTGGATTTTTCTAAGAAATTTATTTTTTTTTTATATTTGACAAACGTAGATTTTTTAAATTTTGAACAAGCGTGAATTTTTTAAAATTTTTTTTCTATAAATTTCGATAAAACTGGATTTTTCTTAAACATTTTTTTAATTTTCAAATTTGGATATTTAAAAAAAACATATTTTCATATATTTTTCACAAAACTAAATTAAAAAAAACGTTGTTTTTCTTTTAATTAATTTTGTTTCTTTTTTAAATTTATTAATTTTCTCAAAAATATTTTTTTTGTGTTTCTGAAATATTTTATTTAAAATTTGCAATAGATGACGATTTTAAAAGAAACATTTTTAAAAAAATTTAAGCAAACGTGGATTTTTTATATTCTTAACAGATTTTTAAAAATTATTTTTTTAATTTCCAGCAAAAAAAATATGAAAAAAAATTAATTTATTAAAATATTTTATTTATTATATTTGTTATATATAATTTTTTTTTTATTTTCAAATTTGGATATTTTAAAAAACATATTTTTTCATATATTTTTCACAAAACTAAATTAAAAAAAAAAACATTTTTTTCTTTTAATTAATTTTATTTCTTTTTTAAATTTATTATTTTTTTGAATATATTTTGTTAGTGTCATTTTTTTAAATTTGCAACAGATGACGACTAAAAAAGAAACATTTTTAAAAAAATGTAGATTTTTTTATATTCTTAACAAATGCGGATTCTTAAAAAAATTAATTATTAATATTAAAAATTAATTTAAAAAAAGGTTAATTTTTTTTAAATATTTTTTTAATTTACAACAGATGACGATTAAAAAAGAAATATTTTTAAAAAACAAAACATTCTTAACAAATTCCGATTTTTAAAAAATATTTTTTTTTCATTTCCAACAAAAAATTAAAAAAAAAATTAATTTATAAAAAATTTCATTTTTTTTTAAATATTTTTTCAATTTACAACAGAGGACGCTTTAAAAAAATATTTTTAAAAAATTTCAACAAACGTGGATTTTTTTATATTCTTAACAAATGCGGATTTTTAAAATATATGTTTTTTAATTTCCAAAAAAAAATATATAAAAAAATTAATTTATTAAAATATTTTATTTATTTTATTTTTTTAATATATATTTTTAAATATACAACAGAAGACGCTCTAAAAAATATATTTTTATTAATTTTAACAAACGTGGATTTTTTTTTATACTTAACAAATGCGGATTTTTAAAAAATATTTTTTTAAATTTCCAATAAAAAAATATAAAGGAAATTAATTTTTTAAAAATTATGTTTTTTTTAATATATATTTTTTTAAATTTACAACGGAAGATTCTTTAAAAAAATATTTTTTTTAAATTTCAATAAACCTGGTTTTTTTTAAATTTTTTACAAAATTGGGGTTTTAAAATATATATTTTTTGAATTTCCAACAAAAAATAATTAATATAATAAAATAAAAATTAATTTATTGAAATATTTTTCCAACAACAAAATGAATTTATTAAAATATTTTATTTATTTAAATTTTTTTTAAATTTACAACAGAAGACGCTTTAAAAACATATTTTTTTAAATTTCAACAAACGTGGTTTTTTTATATTCTTAACAAATGCGGATTTTTAAAAAAAAATATTTCCAACAAAAAATATAAAAAAAATTAATTTATTAAAATATTTTATTTAGTAATTTTTTAAATATTTTTTTTTAATTTACAACAGAAGACGCTCACAAAAAAATATATTTTTTTAATTTTAACAAACTTGATTTTTTTAATTTTTTGACAAAATTGTTTTTCTAAAAAATATATTTTTCGAATTTCCAACAAAAAATAATTAATATAATAAAAAAATAATTTATTAAAATATTTTATTTCTTAAATATTAATTAAATTATTTTTATATAAAGAATATGTTATATAAAAAATTCCATTTCAATTTTCAACAAACGTTAATATTTCGAACCTTTTTTATCTAATTTTCAATAAATAAATACATAAATTCTTGTACAAATTATATTCTGTTTGTGTTTTCCTACAAGTCCTGAATGTAAACAAATATATTACAAATATTCTTGTAGGGTTTTTAACTACTGAATTAAATTGAAATATATATAAACAATATAAAAACATATTTTGCCAAACCCTTAAATTTTCGAATAATTGTCAGGAAAATGTACCTAATTTGTTCGTAACTTGTTCAATTAAATGTTAAACTTAAACCAGGGCACATAGCAACAAACAGAAAAATATGCACTCATTATTCTTCTAAAACAAGAAAAACTCGAAATTTTCATAAAAACCTAAAAAATTGCAAACGAAATCATCGAAAACCTCATTTTCCAACAAAAATCCCTCAGAAGCACATTCATTTTGTCACACGTCATCATTCAAGCAACACCCATTTGTAGCATCAAGCAACCCTGTCTCTGAACAGGGTGCCCACGAAACATCAACAATTGGAAACATATGTTTTCTCACAAACTGCAATTTCCATGCACACACACCACATGAAATACCCTGTCTCGCCTTACGCAGATATTTTGCGGTCGGGCATTTTTATAGTCTCCTCAAAAAACTAATAATTGTCTAAGAATAAGGCAATTAAACTCCTCAAAAACTATACATACATCTTCGCCAAGCCGACATTATGCTGAGCGATATGAAAGTTGACGTTTTTCATTGTTAACAGCGGTGAAAAAGTGTTTTCAAAAATTATAAAAAAAATTCCTACTCTAATCACACACCAACGAAAGCGACGACGATACCCCAGCAGCAGCACAGATACAGAAACAACAAGAGGTAAGAATGACACAAAATAAACGACTAATGGAAAAATGTCAAAACTTGACAATGCAAAATGTTGAGAGAGAGAGTGGAACACAGCAACCTGAAAGAAACCAACAACATTAACATCAAAAAACCGCGCCGGAGAGGGAGAGCGAAACAAGTGTTGTTGCCAGATGTGTGTGGGAATGTGGTTTTGTTGCGAAACAAATGGATGCGCGGCAACATGTCAAATTTGTTTTTCGGGCCAATGAAAGCTTTGGGTTTTGAAGAACAACAGATGGCGCTAAGCAAACTAGGATTTGTTGGTTGCTACTGCGAAACGGGCAAAAATAAACAAAACTACTTTAAGCGAAAAAACCAGTAAAGAAAGTCTTAAAGTCGGGCGGGGCCGACTTTATGATACCCTACACCACTTTGCTAATTTAGTAGAGCTCCACATAACAATTAAAAGTTTTTATGGGAGAATTCAATCATACACGCTATGATCATAATTATAATTTAATGTTCAAAGTACTAAATATGCCGAAGCTTTTGTATCTTTTAAATTCAGAATTGTATTGCCAATTTGGTGCACAATTAATTTGAAATCGGATAAAGATATATATGGGAGCTATATCCAAATCTGAACCGATCTCGATAAACTTTGGCAAAGATATCTCTGAGCTGTATTTGATATATTTCCCTGAATATCGTTGTTGCGGAGTGCATATTACGGTTGTGGGTAACAAATATAACAAATCGGATGAACAATACATATGGGAGCTATAGCTATATCTGAACCGATCTTCACCAAATTTGGCATACTACCTTCTAGACTGAATTCGGTCCTAAGTGCCAAATTCCATCCCATTTGGACAAATATTAGACGTTTGGTGCACAATATAAGGTAAATCGGACGAAGTTATATATGGGAGATATATCCAAATCTGAACCGATCTCGATAAAATTTGGCACATGTATTTCTGGGCTGTATTTGATATATTTCCCCAAATGTTGTTGTTGCAGAGTGCATATTACGGCGGCGGTGGACAAAAAGTAACAAATCGGATGAACAATATATATGGGAGCTATAGCTATATCTGAACCGATTTCGATCAAATTTGGCATACATATTTTCAGGGCTAATTTGGGTGTATATGCAAAATTCCATACAATTCGGGCTGATATTACACGTTTGGTGCACAATAAAAGGCAAATCGGACGAAGATATATATGGGAGCTATATCTAAATTTTGACCGATTATCTCCAATTTCAATAGGGTTCGTCCTTGGGCCAAACAAATGATCTGTGCAAAATTTCATCTGGATCGGGCAATAAATGCGACCTGTACTTTGTTTACAAAAATACATGGACAGACGGACAGACGGACGGACGGACGGACGGACGGACAGACGGACGGACGGACATGCATAAATCGACTCAGAATGTGATTCTATGCAGATCATCAAAAGGAACTATGGGTCTATCTCGTTTCCTTTTGCCTGTTACAAACAAATGCACAAATACATAATACCCTGACCACCTTGTGGTGTAGGGTATAATAATACGTTTTAAAAAAAGTTGAGCACGGATGAACTTTTTTAAAGAAAAATTCATCCCCGATGAACTTTTTTAAAGAAAAATTCATCCCCGATGAACTTTTCTAAAGAAAAATTCATCCCCGATGAACTTTTCTAAAGAAAAATTCATCCCCGTTGAACTTTTCTAAAGAAAAATTCATCCCGAATGAACTTTTCTAAAGAAAAATTCATCCCGAATGAACTTTTCTAAAGAAAAATTCATCCCGAATGAACTTTTCTAAAGAAAAATTCATCCCGAATGAACTTTTCTAAAGAAAAATTCATCCCGAATGAACTTTTCTAAAGAAAAATTCATCCCGAATGAACTTTTCTAAAGAAAAATTCATCCCGAATGAACTTTTCTAAAGAAAATTCATCCCGAATGAAATTTTCTAAAGAAAAATTCATCCCGAATGAACTTTTCTAAAGAAAAATTCATCCCGAATGAACTTTTCTAAAGAAAAATTCATCCCGAATGAACTTTTCTAAAGAAAAATTCATCCCGAATGAACTTTTCTAAAGAAAAATTCATCCCGAATGAACTTTTCTAAAGAAAAATTCATACCGAATGAACTTTTCTAAAGAAAAATTCATCCCGAATGAACTTTTCTAAAGAAAAATTCATCCCGAATGAACTTTTCTAAAGAAAAATTCATCCCGAATGAACTTTTCTAAAGAAAAATTCATACCCGATGAACTCTTCTAAAGCAAATTCAGCCCGGATGGAGAAAACTTCATCCCCGATAAACTTTTCTAAAGAAAAATTCATCCCCGATGAACTTTTCTAAAGAAAAATTCATCCCCGATTAACTTTTCTAAAGAAAAATTCATCCCCGATGAACTTTTCTAAAGAAAAATTCATCCCCGATGAACTTTTCTAAAGAAAAATTCATCCCCGATGAACTTTTCTAAAGAAAAATTCATCCCCGATGAACTTTTCTAAAGAAAAATTCATCCCCGATGAACTTTTCTAAAGAAAAATTCATCCCCGATGAACTTTTCTAAAGAAAAATTCATCCCCGATGAACTTTTCTAAAGAAAAATTCATCCCCGATGAACTTTTCTAAAGAAAAATTCATCCCGAATGAACTTTTCTAAAGAAAAATTCATCCCGAATGAACTTTACTAAAGAAAAATTCATCCCGAATGAACTTTTCTAAAGAAAAATTCATCCCGAATGAACTTTTCTAAAGAAAAATTCATACCCGATGAACTCTTCTAAAGCAAATTCAGCCCGGATGGAGAAAACTTCATCCCCGATAAACTTTTCTAAAGAAAAATTCATCCCCGATGAACTTTTCTAAAGAAAAATTCATCCCCGATGAACTTTTCTAAAGAAAAATTCATCCCGAATGAACTTTTCTAAAGAAAAATTCATCCCGAATGAACTTTTCTAAAGAAAAATTCATCCCGAATGAACTTTTCTAAAGAAAAATTCATCCCGAATGAACTTTTCTAAAGAAAAATTCATACCCGATGAACTCTTCTAAAGCAAATTCAGCCCGGATGGAGAAAACTTCATCCCCGATAAACTTTTCTAAAGAAAAATTCATCCCCGATGAACTTTTCTAAAGAAAAATTCATCCCCGATGAACTTTTCTAAAGAAAAATTCATCCCGAATGAACTTTTCTAAAGAAAAATTCATCCCGAATGAACTTTTCTAAAGAAAAATTCATCCCGAATGAACTTTTCTAAAGAAAAATTCATCCCGAATGAACTTTTCTAAAGAAAAATTCATACCCGATGAACTCTTCTAAAGCAAATTCAGCCCGGATGGAGAAAACTTCATCCCCGATAAACTTTTCTAAAGAAAAATTCATCCCCGATGAACTTTTCTAAAGAAAAATTCATCCCCGATGAACTTTTCTAAAGAAAAATTCATCCCGAATGAACTTTTCTAAAGAAAAATTCATACCGAATGAACTTTTCTAAAGAAAAATTCATCCCGAATGAACTTTTCTAAAGAAAAATTCATCCCGAATGAACTTTTCTAAAGAAAAATTCATACCCGATGAACTCTTCTAAAGCAAATTCAGCCCGGATGGAGAAAACTTCATCCCCGATAAACTTTTCTAAAGAAAAATTCATCCCCGATGAACTTTTCTAAAGAAAAATTCATCCCCGATGAACTCTTCTAAAGCAAATTCAGCCCGGATGGAGAAAACTTCATCCCCGATAAACTTTTCTAAAGAAAAATTCATCCCCGATGAACTTTTCTAAAGAAAAATTCATCCCCGATGAACTTTTCTAAAGAAAAATTCATCCCCGATGAACTTTTCTAAAGAAAAATTCATCCCCGATGAACTTTTCTAAAGAAAAATTCATACCCGATGAACTCTTCTAAAGCAAATTCAGCCCGGATGGAGAAAACTTCATCCCCGATAAACTTTTCTAAAGAAAAATTCATCCCCGATGAACTTTTCTAAAGAAAAATTCATCCCCGATGAACTTTTCTAAAGAAAAATTCATCCCCGATGAACTTTTCTAAAGAAAAATTCATCCCCGATGAACTTTTCTAAAGAAAAATTCATCCCCGATGAACTTTTCTATAGAAAAATTCATCCCCGATGAACTTTTCTATAGAAAAATTCATCCCCGATGAACTTTTCTATAGAAAAATTCATCCCCGATGAACTTTTCTAAAGAAAAATTCATCATTCATAAAGAAAACTTCATCCCGGATGAACTTTTCTAAAGAAAACTTCATCCCGGATGAACTTTTCTAAAGAAAAATTCATCCCCGATGAACTTTTCTAAAGAAAACTTCATCCCGGATGAACTTTTCTAAAGAAAACATCATCCCGGATGAACTTTTCTAAAGAAAACATCATCCCGGATGAACTTTTCTAAAGAAAACATCATCCCGGATGAACTTTTCTAAAGAAAAATTCATCCCGAATCAAGTTTTCTAAAGAAAAATTCATCCCGAATCAAGTTTTCTAAAGAAAAATTCATCCCCGATGAACTTTTCTAAAGAAAAATTCATCCCCGATGAACTTTTCTAAAGAAAAATTCATCCCCGATGAACTTTTCTAAAGAAAAATTCATCCCCGATGAACTTTTCTAAAAAAAATTCATCCCCGATGAACTTTTCTAAAGAAAAATTCATCCCCGATGAACTTTTCTAAAGAAAAATTCATCCCCGATGAACTTTTCTAAAGAAAAATTCATCCCCGATGAACTTTTCTAAAGAAAAATTCATCCCCGATGAACTTTTCTAAAGAAAAATTCATCGCGGATGAACTTTTCTAAGGAAAAATTCATCCCCGATGATGGATGGATGAACTTTTCTAAAGAAAAAAAATCATTTCAGATGAATTTAGATGTTTGATTGAATTTAGATTTTCCAAAATTCTTAATGCAATAATCCGTTTTTCTCTTTCCAGCTCCCATCTTCGTATCACCTCAAATATCCTTCCTTTCACATCTCTACTTCCTCTGCCATGTCTTCAGCTCCTGCTGCTGCTGCCACATCCAATACAGAAATCCGTTATGTTACCGAAGTGCCTAGTAGTCTAAAACAGTTAGCCCGCCTGGTCGTCCGGGGCTTCTACACCATTGAGGATGCCCTCATCATCGACATGTTGGTCCGGAATCCCTGCATGAAAGAGGATGACATTGCCGAACTGTTACGTTTCGAAAAGAAACAAATGCGGGCCCGCATCACCACCCTGCGCAGCGATAAATTCATTCAGATTCGTCTCAAAATGGAAACGGGTCCGGATGGCAAGGCTCAAAAAGTCAATTATTATTTTATAAATTATAAAACCTTTGTAAATGTAGTCAAATATAAGTTGGATCTGATGCGCAAGCGCATGGAGACGGAAGAGCGGGACGCCACAAGTCGGGCGAGTTTCAAGTGTACGAATTGTAATAAGACCTTTACGGATTTGGAGGCCGATCAACTGTTTGACTTCAATACTCAGGAATTTCGTTGTACATATTGTGGGTGTACGGTGGAGGAGGATACCTCGGCCATGCCGACCAAAGATTCGCGCCTGATGTTGGCCAGATTCAATGAACAGTTACAGCCATTGTATGATCTGCTGAGGGAGGTGGAGGGCATTAAATTGGCACCGGAGATTTTGGAACCCGAGCCGGTGGATATTGATACGATAAGAGGGTAAGTGGAGGAGGGTTATTTTGTGAGAAAAAAAATGTATTAATTTCCTTTTTGTCTCTTTGTAGGATTAACAAACCCTCGGCGGTGCGTGGCGAGGGCCAACAATGGTCCGGAGAGGCCACGAGAAACCAAGGTTTTGCCGTGGAAGAAACCCGGGTGGACATTAACATTGGTGGTGATGATGTGCCCGATACCGTGGCCGAACGTAAGGCCCGCCCCATTTGGATGACGGAGAGTACGGTCATCACCGAGGATAATACCGACAATACCGATGCCATACTCAATGAAGCAGCACAAAATTCCCAACAACCCGGCCTGTCGGCGTGGTCTTCCGCCGCCGGAGGCAACACCTCCACCACCAGCACCACAAACAGTACGTTCAACAACAATCGCAAAAAGGAACAGGAAGACATCATGGCTGTCCTGTTGCAATATGAGAAACAACCTGAACAAAAGAAAAACAATAGCAAGGGTCTACGTTTCGGTACTTCCAATGCCAATTCCAGTGATTCGAGTGATGATGAAAATGACATAGAAAATACCAAAATTCGTAAGTAGTCATTCGAGGGAATTCTTTTTCAATTTTCTTTATTTAATTTCGACTTTCGTTTTCTTTCATCAGCCAATAACGATGATTACAATAACTTTATTAATTCCGAATCTGAAGAAGAAGAGGATGATGTTCCTTCCGTTTTGGTGGCCGGCCGTCCTCATCCCATTGATCAAATCAATGATGTGCTAATTGGCCAAATGTCTCAGCAGGAGAAGGAGAACTATATACACATATATCAGCAACATTATAGTCATATATATGATTGAAAAACAACTCCCGTTCCCCTCCCCCCTCCCCTACCCACCTCCTCCTCCTCAAACCCCAATCATTATTTTTTTTACAAACCCACAACTCGATGTTCTTTTTTCAACAAACAACTACAACAACAACTATTACTATAATTATATTAATTATTACTATTATTATTATTAATTTTTTTCATTATATATTTTTTAGTTAATTCTTTATACAAGCCAATAGTGTTTTAATTTTCTCCAATTTGAAAGCCTGACCCTCCACCTCCTCCATCGTCCAAATATTTTCACAATTTTGCTCATCTTATTTTTTTTTTAATTAAATAAATAATTTTCGTTAAATGTTTATATAAAATAATATTTAAGAGAATGGAAGAGAGAGACAGACGGAGAAGAATGCTTTGAACGAGAAAATATATTTAAAAGAAGAAGAAGTAAAACAAAGAATCAACAAAACAATAAAAAAAACTTGAAAATTAAAAAAAACACACCTTTTTTACTTCTGTAGAAAAATAAATTCATCCCTGATGAACTTTTTTAAAGAAAAACTTCATCCCCGACGAGTTTTCTTAAGAAAAATTCATCCCAGATGAACTTCTCTGAAGAAAAATTCATCCCCGATAAACTTTTCTAAAGAAAAATTCATCCCCGACGAGTTTTCTTAAGAAAAATTTATCCCGGATGAACTTTTCTAAAGAAAAATTCATCCCGGATGAACTTTTCTAAAGAAAAATTCATCCCGGATGAACTTTTCTAAAGAAAAATTCATCCCGGATGAACTTTTCTAAAGAAAAATTCATCCCGGATGAACTTTTCTAAAGAAAAATTCATCCCGGATGAACTTTTCTAAAGAAAAATTCATCCCGGATGAACTTTTCTAAAGAAAAATTCATCCCGGATGAACTTTTCTAAAGAAAAATTCATCCCGGATGAACTTTTCTAAAGAAAAATTCATCCCGGATGAACTTTTCTAAAGAAAAATTCATCACGGATGAACTTTTCTAAAGAAAAATTCATCCCGGAGAAACGTTTCTAAAGAAAAATTCATTCCCGATGAACTTTTCTAAAGAAAAATTCATCCTCGATGAACTTTTCTAAAGAAAAATTCATCCTCGATGAACTTTTCTAAAGAAAAATTCATCCTCGAAGAACTTTTCAAAAGAAAAATTCATCCTCGATGAACTTTTCTAAAGAAAAATTCATCCCCGATGAACTTTTCTAAAGAAAAATTCATCCCCGATGAACTTTTCTAAAGAAAAATTCATCCCCGATGAACTTTTCTAAAGAAAAATTCATCCCCGATGAACTTTTCTAAAGAAAAATTCATCCCCGATGAACTTTTCTAAAGAAAAATTCATCCCCGATGAACTTTTGTAAAGAAAAATTCATCCCGGATGAACTTTTCTAAAGAAAAATTCATCCCGGATGAACTTTTCTAAAGAAAAATTCATCCCGGATGAACTTTTCTAAAGAAAAATTCATCCCGGATGAACTTTTCTAAAGAAAAATTCATCCTCGATGAACTTTTCTAAAGAAAAATTCATCCTCGATGAACATTTCTAAAGAAAAATTCATCCTCGATGAACTTTTCTAAAGAAAAATTCATCCTCGATGAACTTTTCTAAAGAAAAATTCATCCTCGATGAACTTTTCTAAAGAAAAATTCATCCTCGATGAAGTTTTCTAAAGAAAAATTCATCCTCGATTAAGTTTTCTAAAGAAAAATTCATCCTCGATTAAGTTTTCTAAAGAAAAATTCATCCCGGATGAACATTTCTAAAGAAAAATTCATCCTCGATTTTCTAACGAAAAATTCATCCCCGATGAGTTTTCTTAAGAAAAATTAATCCCCGATGAACTTTTCTAAAGAAAAATTCATTCCCGATGCAATTCTGTAAAGAAAAAATCATCTCAGATTCAGAAAAGATTTAATGACAACAAATTTTTCTTAAGAAATTTTTTCAATGATGATTTTTTCTTTAGAAAACTTTATCAATGAACTATTTTTATCTCTGATTAACATTTCTATATGTAACAAACATCTCGAGTGAACTTTTCTGTCTAGCCAGAAAATTCCATAACAATTACCATTAGTGTTTTCCCCTCATTACAGAGCGACATCTGTTGAAATAATAAATCAAAAGCTTGCATGACTAATTTAAAATTCCCAACACATTTGACGTTGAGAACATTGTTTCCCTCCATCAATGTTGCTAATCATACGTTTTTCAATGACAATATGGCAACTCTAATGAGCAGCCGTCAAATTGTTTTCCTTCGTTTTTTTCTGCTAGTGTTTATTTATTCGTCAACCATACGAAATAAATTTCCCGCAGAATATAAAAAGATGCGCTAGACACGCAATACGCGAGCAAAAAAATCTTGGCGTAAGCTTTAAATCCATGTGCTTGGTCAAGACAAAGTGTATTACTTTTAATAATTCATTGGTGAAAAACAAAAAAAGAAACGTAAATCAGCATGACAAATGTGTTGGCCGAGTGAACGAGAGAGAGAATGTGTGAGAGGAAATAAGAGTGTGCATGAATGAATGAAGACGGAGTATGGTGTGTGTGTGGAAATAAATAAAGTGAAGAGTTAATAAATTGTTTAAGAAAACTGGTTAAAAAGCCTTTAATGGTCAATTAAATGGGAAATATATATTAAAAATGTTTGGTTAATTAAATAAGCAGATACTTTTATTGTTATTTGATGTTGTTATTGTGTAAAAAAAGTATTTGCACTCACTTCAATTGACACTTGAGAAGCAACATTTTGTTATGCATTGACCCATAGCCACTGACCCGACCAAAGCCAGAAATTGTCAATATATGTGAAATTGTTGTTGTTACTGGAGTGTAAATGTCATCCATAATTCATTGTGTCGCGACTTGTCGTTTGTTTAGTATATAATTAGGCTGTGTATGTCAATATTTACACCCCACAAAAAAACACACACAACTGAACATCAACAAAAAAAACACGAAACTCTAACATTTCCTTTTGTGATTTAACTTAATTTCAACTATTCAAGGGGCCATTTTACAATTCAGTGTTTGCCTAATCAAAGAAGGGTGGTCTATTATCAACCCACCAGAGAATAATTACAACAGCAGTAGAAATAATAATCATTATTAACATTAAATTACGCCGGTCGCCGCCGCTGCTACTGCATCAAAATGAGACCAAAAGTTGACAAAGATTTACTGCCTATGAAGGCGCATTATTTTTTCTTTAATGCTGGTAAGTAACTCTGAAAGAATCGAATGGGAGGGACAAGAGGGTATTTGTATATTTGTGCTACAACCCAAACAACCATAAACATTTGACACATTTTAACCAGCATCATTAGCCTCATTAATGCCCATACACGTATGTGATGTTTTTTAGTTAGTTTTTCTTTTAATAATTGTTATTATTATTACTGTTGTACATTTTTTATAACTTTTTGCTTATTTACTTTTGTCGTGCAAAGTCTAATCACTTCCATACTAAAATACACTGAGACAAGTCAGGGAATTCATTCTAATTAGATGAGTGTTTGAAAGAGAGCGAGAGAGAGAGAGAGAATAAACATAACCAAACACAAAAGGGGCAGAGAAATAGGAATGCGTGACAGTCGCATATTGCATATTTTGCCGCCAAAAGATCGATCAGCTGTCAATCATTTAGTCAATTCAATAGAATCTTGGCAATTATAAGGCAAACTAATAGAAAATGATAAAAGTTAAAAAAAAGGAGAAAATAAGAAATAAATGGAAATGAGAAGGCCAAAAGTAACATCTAGGTATTGTAAAACATTTACTTATTGGGAAATTCAAAGACAAGATAATTTTTTAACCTTTGAGTGTATAATACTCAATAATACTGGATTTTATTTCAGATTCGTTCTGGATGGCATTTTATAGACAAGTTAATCGGAAAGGACCTTCTCCTTATCAAAAAAAATTTCTATAATTATTTTTGGCAAAGAAAAATAATCTAAGATTGCAAAGGCTCCATGGCAATTGCATATTGAGTAAAAATTGTCAGAAATGGATTTATCTATGAAAGGATTTAACAAATATTATAAGGATTTATCCTTATAAAATGATTTATCAATCAAGTATTCTGCAAAAAATTGCAACATCCCAATATGATCAGCCAAAACATCGATCAGCTGTCTCATTTAATCAATTCAAGAGTAGAACGTATAGAAAATGATAAAAATTAAAAACAAATAGCTAATGAATAGAGGAAAATTGAAGTGGGAAGGCCAAAGGTAACTTCTAGCCTTGGCGGTTTTAAGTTACATTTCATTTTTGATATGAATCAGGTGTTCCAAAACATACTTTAGCCCTAGTCGCCTAGTCTGTATCAGGACTTAATTGGGAAATATAAGACAAGTATTATAATTTACAAACTTAGAGCATAAAAACTCAATGATAATCTTTTTTCAGATTCGTTCTGAAACGACTATTAAATAAGCCATTAAAGAGAACCAAAAAATCATCTGAAATTACATTTGGCAGAACGAAACTAATCTAAATTGGATTTTTCCATGATAGAGTTTATCATATATGACCCAGGACTTCTTTCAAGTGTCTTTGTGTAGAAAACTCATCGAATGTTACAGAAAAAATCCCGAATATATCCTTCCTTGATACACCAGAACTCATTTAAAACGACTTCTCCTTGAGCACAAAACACTTATTTGCGTCTTTTCACTGAGAAAAGATCATTCGGATGTTTTATCATTGGGGATGAACCTTTCTAAAGAAAATCGCATCAAAGAAAAATCAAAGAAAAAATCATCCGTAAGAAAACTCATTCCCAGATGAATCTTTCTAACGAAATTAATCCCGGAATGTATTTCGTCGTACGAAGAAAACTTATTCTGCATGAAATCTTTTTAAAGAAAATCGTACCCGATTATCTCTCCTTAAGAAATAATATATTCCCGCAGTTTCTTTTCCAAAGAAGAATTAAAAACCGGATGATCTGTCCTGCAGAAATATTAAAAAAATTCATCACAGAAGAATATTCTATTGCAGAAAAAAATCAACCCTTGTGACATTTTCTGAAGGATAATTTGTCATCCGATCAACAATATCCCAAATGCAATGTTAAAGAAAAAACTAAGTAAATAGTATCTGTCGGTTTTGTCGACAGATGAATGTATATCCCCAGCCTTGACTTATGATTATTCAAACTCTTGATTCTTTATGGCGGATGTTCCGAAGCAGTTGACCAATATTGACCAATTCGTATCTGACCTAAGACTGATACAAATATTACAAGTTGACAGATTTGGGCTATATCGACTACTCCATGTTCTTCATATGAGCCATTTGCAAATTTTTGGAAAATGTGGAAACATGCGTAAGGTAACAGATATAGCGGACCGAAATATTCCATTTTAAAACTTCATCTAATCAAATGCGAAATCATAAATTCCGATAAATTACATATCATATCAGATTTCTGATTAGGATAAATGTTTAGATAAAGCATGTTGTAAAGACCCGACGAATTGTTTCTCAAGTTATGACAAATATAAATATTGGAAATTGTGACCCTTTTTGGGTGAGGTACCACAAGGGGTTGGCAGATGTATATCATCTTCACAACTGATCTTTTGTTAGCAAAAATTTTTGTGTGTGGGATATTTAAGGAGATGGATTTGGATGCATTTATTCGCTCTCCTTGAGCCTTTTGTTCTTCAAAATCTTTAAAGCTATGCGGGGAGGTACCAGAAGGAATGGTGCGATCCCTACTACCTTTATATCAGATCTTGTTTTGATAGAAATATTGCGATATGCCAAGTATGAATAGAATCGGATGTTAGTTTCGTGTTTTTTGAGCTTCGTGGATATTCAAAATTTTAACCCTTTGTGGGGGAGGTACCAGAAGGAATGGCCCGATCTCTACCATCTTCATAACAGGTCTTGGGTTAATAAAAATATTGTGATGTGTGTAGTTTGAAGAGAAGCGGATGCTTATTTCGGATTTTATGATCGTTTTGGTTATTCAAAATTGTAACCCTTTGTGGGGGAGGTTGCAGAAGAAATGGTTCGATCTCTACCACCTTAATATCAGATCTTGTGTTGATAGAAATATTGCGTTGTGCCAAGTCTGAATGGAATCGGATGTTAATTTCGTGTTTTATGAGCTTCATGAATATTCCATATGTTTACTCTTTGTGGGGGAGGTACCAGAAGGAATGGCCCGATCTCTACCATCTTCATAACAGGTCTTGGGTTAATAAAAATATTGTGATGTGTGTAGTTTGAAGAGAAGCGGATGCTTATTTCGGATTTTATGATCGTTTTGGTTATTCAAAATTGTAACCCTTTGTGGGGGAGATACCAGAAGGATTGGTCCGATCACTACCATCTCACTTTATAACAAATCTTGTGTTGATGGAAATTTTGCGATGTGCCAATTCTGAATGGAATCGAATGTTAATTTTGTGTTTTATAAGCTTCATGAATATTCCAAATGTTTACTCTTTGTGGGGGAGGTACCAGAAGAAGTGGACCGATATATTATATCTTTACACCACACCTTGGGTTAATAAAAACATTGTGATGTGTATAGTTTGAAGAGTAGCGGAAGCTTATTTCGGATTTTATGATCGTTTTGGTTATTCAAATTTGTAACCCTTTGTGGGGGAGGTACCAGAAGGAATGTTGCGATCCCTACCACCTTTATTTTAGATCTTGTGTTGATGGAAATATTGCTATGTACCAAGTCTGAATGGAATCGAATGTTAATTTTGTTTTTTATGGGCTTCATTGATATTCAAAATTTAGACCTTTTGTGGGGAAGGTACCAGTAGAAGTGGACAGATATATTCCATTTTTACACCAGACCTTGGATTAATAAAAATATTGTGATGTATGTAATTTGAAGACAATCGGATTCGAGTTCGAGTTAGAGTTATAATTATTCCAAATTATGACCCTTTGTGGGGGAGATACTTGTTGGAGTGAACCGATATTGTCAATTTTCGCACCTGACCTAGCACTGAGGCAAATATTAGGATATGCAAAGCTGAAGCCAAATCGGGTAATCCTTTCTCTTGCTGTTCAGTAATTTATTTTCTTTGAAAATGTTAACATTTTGTGGCGGAAGATACCAGAAGGAGTGGACCGATATTTCCCATCTCCGAACTCGATCTAAGTTTGATAATAATATTACGATGTACCAAGTTTAAATCAAATCGGACAGTTATTGTGCGCACCAGCCAGCCAGCCAGCCAGACGGACATCACTAGATCTACTCCAAATGTTTGGTCCAAAGAGACGTAGGGTCTTAAACCGTTATTTCGATGAGCCACCTTTTTGGCCGTATCAAATGATAAATACCCTCTCTAGCCAAATGGCTGAGGGTATAAAAACTGATTTAATTGCAATTTAAAGCATTTTTTGCTACGTGATTTATGCGATTTTTTTCCCCCAAATGCCCAAACGATTGTGTTGCGGTTTTAATTGTTTTTATTTATTATTTATTTTTTTTTTTAATTTTTGTTGCAGTATTGTTTTTCCCAACATTTGTCCCCATGCTTGGGCCTCAAATTACCCTTAGCTATAGACATTTTTGTCATACGAATCCATTCCATTTTTTTCTGTGCTTTTTCGTATTATCAGCTAAGCTATTGCCTACTTCGAAATTCTTATTTACTCAACTCCCTGTATTTAGACATGTGAGCGAGTTAGTTTATTATTCTTTATGTCCAATATATGTAGCTTATCTTGATTAAATTTAAACAATAGTCACTAGAGGCTATACAAGAAATGCAATAACAGTAACTATGCTAATAAAAATAAGCCATTCGTATGTATGTGTGTGTGTATATGCAGATAAATGTTTTTAACTGAGTGTGGGCGGTAAATTTTGATAAGAGCTTGTTATGGAAAAACAGTGTGTTTTTTTGATCTGTCCCAGTCATCACAAGGTATTAATTAAATATGCATTTAAAAAAACACACACACAAACAATTAGGATATTCCACCAAAAACCAGGGGGAACAAATAGACAAATATTTGGTCATCATTTTTTTCATTTCAAAACTGTTTTTTTTTTTCTTTTTGGAAAGAAAAAAATGTTTAATAGACGGAATGATAAGAATTATGAGAAGATAAGCAAAAGGGGACAGGATGGAGCCCCTTACTCACAAGAAGCAAGAAATTTATAGGGTGAGATAAAAAACAAATTAAAAAGTATCAGTCGGTATTGCCGACAGATATATACCCTCAGCC